TCTTTTTGATAATAACCTTTCTGACAGGTGTTAGGTAATAATCTCATTGTGATTTCAATTTCCATTTCCCTGATGATTACTGATGTTGAAAATTTTTTCGCATTTTTGTTGGCCACTTGTGTGTCTTCTTTTGAGAAATGTCTATTCAGGTCCTTTGCCCATTTTAAAAATTGGATTATTAGTTTTTTTATTATTGAGTTGTTTGAGTTCCTTATATATTTTGGATATTAACCCTTATCTGATGTATGATTTGCAAATATTTTCTCTCATTCCACGACTGTGTTTTTCATTCACCTCTATATCTGTAGTACCTAGTATAGAGTGTCTGGTAAATAATATGAAATTAATATATTGACTGACTGATGAACAGGTAGTCCTCAGTCCTAAGATCCCTGATGTTCAGGGACAGAAACACGAAACTTTTTAACATGACACCTGCCACGAATTAAGCACTAACTACATGTAGGAATGGGATCAAACACCTGCCACTGTCTCCTAGGATCCACACAACACTTGGATATGGTACTATTATCCCCATTTTCACAGATGAGAAAACTGAGGTTTAACCACAGTTTAATTTTATACCAAAGTCCAACTCCAAAGACTTCTTTTAAATTTTTTTATTTTTGTCAGTTTCATGTATACAAAGTTTAGAATATAAAATAGTTTTATAACACAATAACATTTAACAATTGTCCTACAAATAAAACCTCTCTTGGCTACATATTACTTCTTCCAATTTCTACTCCTCTGTGCTCTACTTTACAGTCAAGATTCTTGAAAGAATTGTGTATACACACGTTTCTTTATTTTCTGACTCTCCATTCTTTCTTTACCAAAATTGCTCTAAGATGACTAATAACTTTGTGTTGTTAAATTCAATGGCCATTTGCAGCATTAATCAAAACAGTTGACTTCCTTCTTCAATCCTTCTTTCTTTTTAATTTCTTGACCTCATACTGTCAGGTTTTCTCAGTTGTCTTTAGAAGTCCTTCTGAGCCTTTTTTTTGCGGGCAGGGGGGAGACTGGCAATGTCTCCTTTTCTATTTAATCTCAAAAATATATATCTGTTAGAAGACTCGTGAGAATAGCAACTTGGATTTAGCTTAAATTGTTTTGCTTGTGCTCATTACTGAACCAACAAATAAGCAAAAGAGATTAACAAGACTCAGATTAAAGTGCATATGTGGACACAGTGCCACATGCCTCCACACTTCCTCAGAGGGATGGGCCAGAAGTTCTGTACTCAATGCAGTCAATGTGGAGTGAGTAATCCACCAGGTCACAGGAGTTCATAGCTTTCAGCTTTCTGCCTTTTTAATTATTAGGATGGGGTCATGGCCTATTCACTACCTCATAAGGAGTTTCTTTGCTATCCCACAATTTGTCACAGTTTCGTACTTACATGGTTGCAGTGGCTTTGTCTAGGCAATCTGGAACTGCAACTGTCAGAAACCATATGATTCTAGGTTAGAGTTGATCAAAACAGAATTTGTGGCTGGGTGCGGTGGCTCATGCCTGTAATTCCAGCACTTTGGGAGGCTGAGGTGGGAGGACCACCTGAGGCTAGGAGTTTGAGGCCAGCCTGAGGAACATAGCAAGACCCCATCTCTACAAAAAAAAAAAAAAAAAATAGCCAGATGTGACGGTACACACCTTTAGTCCCAGCTACTCAGAAGGCTGAGCCAGGAGGATGGCTTGAGCCTAGGAATTCGAGGTTGCAGTAAGCTATGATCACACCACTGTACTCCAGCCTGGGTGACAAAGCAAGACCGTGTCTCTAAAACAAAACAAAACAAAAAGACAAACGAAAAAGAGAATTTGCATGAAATTTGGAAGGCAGAAGTAAAACAGTAGCTGTAACTGTGTGAAGGTGAGGTGGTAGGAGGAAGTGAGAAGCAGATGTGGATGGACTGGCCTCCTTGCTCTACTCTACTCCATGTCTGACTCTTTCTTAATGCTAACCTTGCTGACTGACTGTGGTCCCAGGCCTACCACAAGACTCTTGGCAACAAATCTACAGAGATTTAGCTATGCAAAGTCAACAGTCCTCCACAGACTTCTACAGCAGCCCCCCTCATAGTCTCATTCTAGTTCCTGGCCATGCCTAGATACCAACATCCAACACCAGACACACAGTCCAGTACTGCAGATAGGCTTGCCAGATTTTTTTCTGACCCTCTTAGTCCTTTCTTTAGTGCTTTATTTCCCCATCCTAACTCTTATAATAAGTAAATTCCCCCCTTTGTGATATTCATGGTGGTTCTGTTTTTGTGATGGAACCCTGACTAATACAGTTATTGGTTGTTTTGTTAATTAAAGCAAGTAACTTGGCCAGCCCAGACCCAATGTGAGAAGGTACTACACAAGGCCATGAAATAACAATAGTTATGGATCTTCAGAACATTTTGGAGACCAGTTACCATACGTTTCTGTACGGCTGCAATAGCCCTGGATCACTTCAGCGTTACTTTGAACTGTGCTCCTCTTAGTCCTATTTCACACTGGTGTGAATGTTTATCAGGCACCATGGTCTGAGTCCCCCCGTTTATACATGTACTCTGGGCTGTGACACTAGCCACTTCAGTGGCATGAATACGTTCTCTCAGTCTGGGCTGAAATTGTGAATGTATACCACCTCTCAGAACTACAGCGTGGGCAGACTCCTGGGGACAGATGTTTGTCTTGTAACACTGTAGACTGCCCACATCTGGGGCAGCATTGACTGGATAGCTGGTGGTACAGGCTTTTTTCTATTCAGGAAACCTGCAGATATTCAAGTCTCTGTGGTTTGTACAGGGGTTGTCCTCTCCTACATAGGGCTGCGTCTCTTCCTTCCTGGGACATCTTAGATTTATTTTCTGTTGCTAGATTTCCTGCCAGAGGTATGGGTCTAAATTTTCCTTCCCAAACCTAGTACTTTCTTTTATGATTAACTAGACCAACTGTCAGACCACAAATGGTGCCAAGTGGCTGTAAGGGACAGCCCACACAGAGACTCCACATTGCAGGTGCTGTTGCTAGTTTATCCTGGACTACAGCCAGGGCTGGCCTTGTGGGCATGGGATCTGGCCATGTTACTCAGAGGTCTGTGCTCTGAAGGGCACTGAACTTGGTTTAATGCTTTGCTGTTGCTGTCTTGAAATTTTTATTAATTTTAAACAAGGACCTCTCATTTTCATTTTGTGCTGGGCAACATAAATTATATAGTCTGACCTGACTACAACAATGATAACCATTTAGTTATTTTTCTGATTCTTACTAATTCATAATTAGCTACTTGATGCAGACCTGGGAATAGAACTAAATCAGGGCAGAACCTAGGAGAGGAGAGCCCACTACTGGGACCCATCTGAGCCTAGCTATTGCACTGGAGTATCAGAAAAGGAAACAACCAGGCTGGTAGGCTTTGCCTCCAGAGTTATGGGGTGCATGGGTGGGAAGGACATAGAGAAAGTCTGACTGTTATGTAGTATTTCTTATGCCAATACAGAATGTCAGGCCTTCATTTCCCTCTCAGTAAAATGCCAGGTGTTCCACACTTACCCCTCTCCTACATTTTCTCCATGTTAACCTGAACATCCCTCATCATTAGCACTGACTGAACAGGTGCTAGGCCCCTAGAGGAGCTAACAGTGCTAATAGACTTTCTGACTGAACAGCATAATCCCCAAATGCCCTAGTGCACAGCTCATTTTCCTCTGAAGGCCGTGAGAGTAAGTAAAACTCCTAGTAATCAGGAGTCTCCCACTTATTTCCTCTTCCCTTGCTCCTTTACCACTTTCAATATAAACTCAAGGCCCTTTTTGTCAATCTTGCTAATCACACCAAATTAATTATGCCAGGTCAAAATGCCTGATCCATGCTTGAGGATGGTTAAAAGTGACCCCTGGACTCAGCTTGTATGGCTTTCATTTTAGTTTACTTCCAAATCAGCAAATAATTCCTACCAAGACAACATAAGAATGCAAATGAGCAAATGCTGTTCTTCAGTTCCTCTCCAATTCCTCAGGTTGCTGAATTATAGCAATAAAACTCCCCATGGAAAATGAGAAAATAACCAGTTGGAAGAACAAGGAAACTATATGCTTATAAACTTGAACTCAAAGTCTACCTACTCCCATGAGGAGAAATTCTCCTCTCACTGTCTTAGGCCATAGTTACATGCTCTGTTACATTTTGTTTGCATCATTAGGACCATTAGCTGACCTGGCTATGGTCTACCATGTGAACCTGCTCCTTTCAACCTACATTCTCTCATTAATTGATTTCATTCATCAATATAGTTGTCACTCCTAGGCTGTGGCTCAGAGATGAATTAAAATACTATGTTTTAAAAATATAGTTTTCTTTTTTTATCTGAGAACAAGGGCAATAAATAGTAGCTTCAGTAATTCTTTCATATGTTAAAAAAAGTACACAGGTAGATATTACTTTTTAAATGAAAAGAGATAGATATATGTTTATATTGAACTGAAATCAGGAAAAAATATGGTTTGACAGGTGGTAATTTATTTTTTTGCTAGTATTCTCCATATCCATGAATTGCATTAAACATAACCTTAGTAACTGTAGTATACAGTTGGAGGTTTTGGGTGAATACAATATCATCAATTTATACTTAACAATATCAAGACTAAATTCATTTTTCCCAAATATTATTTGCTTTCCTTTACTTATATTTTGACTACTCAAATAGACTATTTTAATTAATTGATGAAATTTGAAATACCATTTCAGAAAACTCTTGTGTCAAATAATGTACAACCAGGGACCAATAAGAAAAAGAATCTTTATTTATCACTATTTATGACAAAATAACAAATAAATAAAATTTTTAAACTTTAATTTTTGACTTACAGTTTTTCACTCATCCATGGATGTTTATTTTTAATCAAAATATCCTTTCTAGACTTCTTAAAGTATTTTTCTGAGTTTATGATCACACAGGATGAATTTTAAAATTCAGAAATATCCTTTACTTATGTGGCTTTTGTTTTTTAAAACCCTGTTCTAGGTATACTTGAAGGTTGTCTCTGCTTTAAGATACAAATAGTAATACTTACAATAATAGTAACAACTATAACAGACCCAGCCACTGACAACACCAGTACAGAAATATTAACTCCAGAATTATGATGATTTTTATCAGGATCAGGATTAGGATTAGGATAATTTTCATCAGGGCTAGGATCCGCTTCAGGGATAAACAATGCTACTTGTGCTATGTTGGATATTTTTGATGTCAAATTGCTTTTATCTACACTTTTAATGGCAATAAATATGTGGGTTATATTTTCTTCTGAGATATGTCCTGGTTTAAATGAAAAGGTTTCCTTGAAGTTGGCCTCATGTGGTACCAGATCACTAGTGTTTACTTGAAGAGCATCATCAAAATTGTCTCTTAGATCAAGCATACTTCCACTTATTCTCACGATGTAATATTGAACTAAGAAAAAAAAGTTAACACATAGTTTAGAAACTGGTGCATAGCTTATTACTTCCTTTTTATTTATGCTAAAAAATATTTAGTTATACAAAGCAAATATTCATATCAAAAACCTTACTCATTTTTCAATAAAGGCTGAATTCTGACTTCTAAGCTTTGTCAAATGCTCCCTTCTTTGTACGAAATGTAGGGCCAGGTTAAATCTGTCGTGTTTGTTTGATTCAAAAATATCAGATTTTAAAATTCATAATTTGCTGAGCTTTCGATTAAAAACAATTCTCCCCTCACCCATCCTTACACCCTTGCTGTTGGAATAATCTCCTTTCACTTAAGTCAAAACCACATGACACTTTGTCCTTACCTTTTCCAACATCAAAATCATCTCCTGGTGCCGTCCATGTTAGAGTGATCTCATCTCCGTGAGGTGTGGCCTCAAGGTCTGTGATTTGACTTGGTGGGTACAGGTCAGGCAAGGGAAGACCTGGAACTTGTGATACCACAAATGCACCTCCAGATGCTGTTCTGCTGAAATTCTCCAAGGAAGTCTGAGTATTCTCATCAATTTCAGATCTTGGTGGGTTTGCTTCAATTTCCCCTACATTGAAAATTTCCTGGTTATAATGGGCAAAACCATGCTAGAATTTTTTAGAACACAGTGAATCACCATCCCACATGTCTTTTCCTTTTGTTTTTCATATATACAGTCACATTTTTACTAAGTTTTGTGACACAATTATAAGCATCCAATTGGTGGGAGAATTCTTCCTTTAGTATC